AAACCTGCCTGTAGCATTTGCATCCCTTTGGCTTGGCCTGTAGTCAGAAAGACAAAAGGGTAAATATCCCGTCTAGCTGGGATGTTCCTGAAATGATGTAATTAAAAACCAAACAGTAGAACTTTTCGGTTAAATGTAGATAATTGTTTATTTGAAATTGGATTATTTAAATGTATATTTCCACAGCAGTATCATAAATATTGTTATTAGTAAACATAAATTATGTGCATAAATATCCCCCCAACGTTATTTCTTCATTCCTACAAACATAAAATAATTGTGCTTAAATATTCCCAGACATAATTGTAATGTGCCAAAAATCAATCAGTTATCAAACTCTAAATTATTGTGCAGCAAGATTATAATAGTTTTAGTTCACAGCCATATCACCCTGCAGCCCGAGACCGGTTACTCACTGAAGCTAAGCAGGGCTGAGCCTGGTCAGTGTCTGGATGGGAGACCACTAGGGAACACTAGGTTGCTGTTGGAAGTGGTGTTAGAGAGGCCAGCAGGGGGCGCTCAACCTGTGGGCTGCGTGAGTCCTAATGCCCCAGTATAGTGAAGGGGACACTACACTGTCAGTGGGCGCCGTCTTTCGGATGAGACGTTAAACTGAGGTCCTGACTCTCTGTGGTCATTAATAATCCCATGGCACTTCTCGTGAAAGAGCAGGGGTGTAACCCCGGTGTCCTGGCCAAAGTCCCACTATCGGCCCTTATGATCATGGCCTCCCAATCATCCCCTTCCACCGAATTGGCTCTATCACCGTCTCTCCACTCCACCAATAGCTGGTGTGTGGTGAAGCACTGGCACCGTTGTCCTGTGGCAGCCGTCGCATCATCCAAGTGGATGCTGCACACTGGTGGTGGTGTGGAGAGACCCCCCCTCATGATTGTGAAGCGCTTTGGGTGTATGGCCATACACAATAAATGCGCTATTTAAATACACATTACATAGTTTCTATTTCGTCAGTCAGGTTTAATTAGTTTTAGAGGCAGATTTACTCGTTTCTATTAGTTTCTATATTTTGAAATTATTTAGTTTTAGTTTAGTTTTTATTAGTTTTAGTTTCAGTTTTTTTTTCTAAATGAGGATATTTGTTAGGTGGAAGATTCAAAATCATTAAAATAAATATTGCATGATAAAAACTCAGCCATACATTTTTTGAAATCTGTATGTAGAGGACACATGAACACCATCATCACTGCCATCTACCTGTCCTCAAATTCAAATACAGCAGCCCACAAGACAGCAGCCCTATGTACAATATGTGTGCAAGGCAAATGTTAGGTTAGATACACAGCAGTAATGGGAAGTTCAGATATTTAACGCGGATGTTTCTACTCAACATGGCAACATTATGTAGTCAGCAATAGTCATTTCAGTCAGTTAAAACATCACCGGGGCGAGGCGGTGGCGCAGTAGGTAGTGCTGTCACCTCACAGCAAGAAGGTCGCTGGTTTGAACCTCGGCTCAGTTGGTGTTTCTGTGTGGAGTTTGCATGTTCTCCCTGCCTTCACATGGGTTTCCTCCGGGTGCTCCGGTTTCCCCCACAGTCCAAACACATGTGGTACAGGTGAATTGGGTAGGCTAAATTGTCCGTAGTGTATGAGTGTGTGTGTGTGAATGTGTG